GTTTGGTTGTAATAGAAAGTATAAACTGCCAACCAAAACAGAATGTAAAGTTCTAAGAATTTTTGCAAATAACCCAAATAATATATTGTTTTCCTGAAGAGATTTCTGGATTAATTTACAAGGATCATTGACATCAATAAAGCTTTAATTATTCTTCAATAACAGATTATTTAACAGCTTCTTTAATCTTGTTTCAAACTGACAACTAATATTTCATAAGCATCCTCTTTTTTCAATGTACAATTTACTCTTAGTAAAACTTCCTGTTTCTTTTGCAGAGAAACAACTGTAAAGCATAATACTCTTTTTTTATGTGTTTTGTTGAAGGGATGTACCTGAGCGAGCATCTGCAATAGCCACCCTAGTAGATGGGTATCCTTGAATACGAGTGGCCAGCTATTATATATATATATATATATATATATATATATATATATATAAGGATGCGTCAACAAGTGTGTAGCCTAACATATAGGTATTAAGTGAATTTAACCTAAAATGTTTTTAACTCTTTAATTTCTATAATACTATAAGGTATGAGAGCCATGTAAACTAGAATTTTGCTTTGAGAATCAGTTTAATTATCAGTGATTTCTCAAGAAATCTACTTTGTTCCTATTCACCAACCTATTTATAAAAACATTAACTCGTTGATAGTTGCCATATTGCAACAACAGACACATTTTCTTTTCCAACCAGTACTCTTAATATTGTAGATGTTCTATTTTCTTTTCTGTAAATAAAATTTTACAGAATATATGATTTCAGTGTCTTGAAGCAATGGTATTATAAAAAAAGTGAATGGTTTTTTGAGAAGTGCCATCATATTCTTTGAGAAAGCTTGAAAAACAAGATATAAAGTAGAAATAATATTTTAAGAGAATGCATGTGGAATTTTTCTATTCAGACAATTCAGTAGAAAAATTTTCAAATTTCTTTTTTACTTTTAATCACAAATATATAATTTTTAAGTGAAAGTGAAATTTTAAAATTTAGTATTATTAAATATAATGAATTTAAAGTTGTAGTTGAAATTGTTTCTTTAATATCTTTTCTACTTATTTTTCTCATATTTTTAGCAAATATTTTATTTAAAACCCTTTGATTTGTAAGTTTATTCCCTGACTACATATGTATTTAATCTCTCAGACAATGACTGGAGACACAAATGATCTAAATGGTTTCAGAGATGATCGAGTTCTGAAAAGAAATCGAAATGAATTTCATCATGTTGGGTTTTTTGCCAAGACATTAAATAGAAAATCTGAAAAACAAACAAACAAACAAACAGTAACAACAGCGCCATATTCCATATCATAAAAACAGGGAGAAATAAAAGGTTGCAAAACCTGGCTACTTCTATGAAGCCAAAATTGTGAACAAGTAACAGAAATTTGAAATTGTTCCAGAATTTCCTAATCTTTTAATACAAATAAACAAAATCCTAAAATTAACCTTTTCCTACAATTCCTATTTAATAATAACCTTTCTGCTTCTGACAACTCTTCCGGAGATTGACAAAAATTGGAAGAATATAATCATCGTGTATCCACTACAAGACCACTGGTTTTACTTGATGAAGACATTGATGCCACTACAGATGCCCAACAATTGCAAAGTTGAAAGAACGCTGTTTATACAAGAAGAAAGAATCTAGTTTGCCATTTACAAACTTTTATAAATGGCTTACTTCAGAGAAAACAAAATAACTTTGTTATAGGAAAACGGTTTCTTTTTCCTCTTATATTGTTTAAAGCAAATACAGTTCCCACTGCTTGTCGTCAAAGCAATCGCCTTCGTATTTCTTTTTACTTTCCTTTGTTTCAAGGCAACAAACAGACCGTTGGCAAATGTTGAAGCAAAGAAAATCTGGCTTTCATACCTATTCACACAGAAAAATGAAGAAAACTATAAAATGCTTTTTATTACTAAATGGCAAGGATGCTTTCTCGTGACGATGTTGATACCTGGAAACTCTACACCCTTTTTTATTCGGAGAATCTAACTTGGAACCACAAAGGTATCACCCTGGTCATATGATCCTAGCTAATCCAATCATATTACCAAATTTAGATCATATGGCATGATCAGATTGTTAACAAACCTTTGATATTTTTTTGTTCTGAAGCTATAAAAGAATCTAGCAGTTTATTGTTTGTTTTAAATGTCATTGCATTTCTTTTCTATCATGATTATCATTATTATTACCAAAATTCTTTATCATTACGTTAAAAGATTTATTTCTTTAGTGATGAAAAAACTATGAGCTTTTTGGTAAGACTATATTCACATTTTTAAAAGTTACATTTGTCTTCAAAATCCAGTATTGAGCCAAATAAATAAACATTGTAAGGAGTTTAATCCCTAGATACTTGTTTGTCTAAAAGACAGAGTATTTAATAAGTAAATACAAATACCGATTTCCATTTTATCCATCTAGTGAAGTTCTTTAACCAGTTCTTAATTTCAGCGCATAGGTGATCATGGCTCTCCACAACTTCCTGTCCCTTGTAGCTCTTAATATAAACTTTGTCTTTCTGTTATTTCTCCTATGTCCTGTTCCCCCATCCATTTACTCAAGTGCACTAAGTATGTTAGGTTTTGTTTTCTGCTGTCCCTCTTGTCCTCTATCTGTCCTGTGAGTATCAGATTTTCCAAGCCCTTCTTCCTTACAGAAAGCTCAACTGTCTCTTCCTGATGTTAAGTATTAGTATCTTTTTTGTTTTCATTTTCTCCAAAACTTTGTTGTTGTTCACATGTTCAGTATACAGTATCCTCATCATCCTTCTGTAGAATCCCATTTCTATTGCTTCAAGTCTTCTCTTCATCTTTTAGGAGATCGTTCAACACTCTATGCCATATTCTGATATCACATAGCAGTTTAGTACTCTATTCCTTGTTTCTAACAAAATTTTCCTATTTCTAAGTACACTGCATTTCTTTTGGAATGCTTCCTTGGATATCCCAATATGCTTTTGGATTTTAATATCACTCTTTCCATTCACTGTTGAAACACGTCCCAGATATTTAAATTTTCACACTTGTTTGATTTTGATATCTCCAATTTCCAATTCGTACATTGGACTCATCCTTTTGCAAAGAAAGGCATTCACTTTATGCAAAGTTGTTTTTGGTTAATTGTTTATTCTTCATTTGGAATTTATCAGTAAATGACTGTTTACAGAAAAAGACTGAATAGGAAGATATTTAACAAGCTTGTGAAAAGCTCAGTTCCACCAAATAATTGAAGATAATTGTTTAAACAGATGAAGAAACTTAATCTAATTTTTAAGTGACCCTATTGGATGAATAAATGACTTTAACAGGTAGTATATTTGTATCCTTGTAAAATCAGCTCTTATTCTTTCTGCTTCAAATGAACCATGTTAGCAACATGGCTTTGTTCACCAAGGCCTTCACAAGAAGCAGCAATCTGAAACGACAATTCTATTTATCATGGTTTGCAACTCTATTACCTTTATCCAAACGTATATTATTCTTCTAAATGCCACATTCATCAAACTTTCCATTACAATCATCATCTCCATTTCTGTCTGTTAAATCTTTGTCTTTTTTACTTCAATTTGCTAACACTCTCTCTCCATCTCTTTCATTCCCTCTCACTCATTCCCTTTCTTTCTCTCCTCCTCTTTTCTCCCTCCCTCCTTCCCTTCTTTCATCTCTCTCATTCTTCCTTTCCCTCTCTCTCTCACCCTCTCCCTCCCTCACTATGCCCCTCTCTCCTTCTCCTTCACCCTCTCCCTCACTCTCTCACTCCCTCCCTCCCTTTTCCATCTCTCTCGCTCTCCTTCTTCCTTTCCCTCTCTCTCTCTCTCTCTCATGCTAACTGCTTCATCATGTCTTTTTCCATTCTATTCGAACTTTCATTTAATCTATCTTACCCTCTCTCTCTCTCCTTCCCTCCACCTCTCCATCTCTTTCCCTCTATCTCTCTCATCCTCTACCTCCCTCACTGTTCCTCTCACTCCTTCACCCTTTCCCTCTCTCTTACACCCTCTCTCTATCTCTGATGCTAACTGCTTCATTGTCTTTTTTCCATTCCTTTTGAATATATTTAATCTCTCTCTCAGCCTCTCGCTCCCTCCCTGTCTTCCCCCACTCTCTCCTTCTCCCTCTCTCTCCTCTCTCTATCTTCTTCTCCCTTTCCTTCATGCTTCCTGCTTCATTGTCTCTTTTTCCCATTCTTTTGATCTATCAATCTATCTAGCTAACTAGCTCAGTCAATTCAAAACTATTTATCTATTTTTGTCTGTTCTCAACATTCATATCTATTTCATTTTATTTGTATGTATCTCAGTTAGCACATTATCTATCTATCTACCCCAGTCTGTTTACATCTATCTATCTATCTCAGTCTGTTCATATCTATCTATCTATCTATCTATCTATCTATCTATCTATCTATCTATCTATCTATCTATCCCAGTCTGTTCACATCTATCTATCTATCTATCTATCTATCTATCTATCTATCTATCTATCTATCTATCTATCTTATTTACTTTTTTGTGACAGTCCCTCTTAGACTCTATTGCTTTCTCATTAAATTTTCTTTTTTACTTTTTACAGACATTATTTTGTTTGGAAGTCATTTTACGATTGGTTTGTACTTATAAAACTCAAAGACCTTTTGCTGCTTTGAATTTTTCTACTTTTCATTCAATACCTCTTGAATATTAAAGTAAACAAATGACATTCACTATTGAATAATAATAATGGTATTTTATTCAAGTTCAGAACATAAAAGTCTATTTCTACTACATCACCAGAAGAGTCCACTAAATGGTGATGGCTGAATTAAAGTGGATGTTTATGTTATGTTTATATTTTTGACAATATAACAAAGTAATACATACATACATACATATATATATATATATATATATATATATATATATATATATATATATATATATATACATACATATGAATGTAGATTGCTTTTTATATTTGTGAATATTTATTCTGGCAACATACACATGCATTCCATTATCTTTTATTATTTTTCTTTTTTCCTTCCTTCTTTTTTCTTATTTTCTTCATTGCAGTTTCATTTATTTTGGCTTCTCTGTCTCCTTCTTTCCTTCTTTCTTTTCTAATTGAATGTAAGACTGCCTCTTTCTTATCTTATTCTTTCTTCTTCTCATTTGCTTTATATTTTTCCTCCTAAAATGAGAATTTCATTTCTCTTTTTTCTACTTCTTTCTTTCTTTCTTTCTTTCTTTCTTTCTTTCTTTCTTTCTTTCTTTCTTACTTTCTTTCCCCCTCTGCAGCTGCTAACAGAATTCATACAAACCAACAGCACCCCCAACCAACTCACACTTTCTAAGTTTCTGTTCTGAAAGCCATGCAGTTTTCAGCAATAAGGGATAAAATTGACGCATCCTTCCCCACCCCTGCATCATTACAGACTCCACCCCTATTTCTAGTCAACTAATGTAAATGGGAAATTTTACTCAATCTGACGCTTTTTGTTTAGTAAAAAGCAAAAAGTGGCATCAAAAGAAAAGCTTCTTGCTGCAGAAAAATTAGTTTAAAAAAAATTTTGATGTAAAAAGATGAATTCATTTGACAAGGGATTAAAATATTTTCAGTAATTTGCAAAGAAATTTCAAGTCTAAAAATTGGTCCCACTTAATATCCCAACAACGAAAGGAAAAAAATGTTTTTAATGTGTATGATGTAATATTCAAATTGCGGTAAAAGAAAGTGTAAAGAACTTTTTCTGATTGACTGCAGATATTTTGACCTATTTTGCATAAACATTCATTCAGAGAATTTCACTGTTCAACCTCCAGAAGTCCCAAATCATTTGAAATTATTTTCTTACCATTATTGACCATTGAAAATAGTGTTCTTTATTGTTTTTTACCATTCTTGACCATGAAATAGAGTTCTGAAATGTTTGCCAAATTTCACTCAATAGTGTAAACACACACACCCATAAACACACACACACACATATATATAATTTTGTATAATTTTATATATAAACAAACAATATTTAGAAAAATATGGCAAACTGGAAAATTTCTTGTGTATGAAACTTTATTGATTTATTCTTTGAATTACTATTTTACAATACATATATGTTTTTATATATATATATATATATATATATATATATATATATATATAATATATATATATATTTTACTAAAAGAGCTGTTGTCCTTGCCATCCTTTTGTATGGCTCAGAGTTGTGGACTCCATACAGGTACCATATATGCCAGCTGGATATTTTCTATAAAAGCTGTCTGAATGCCATCTGTGGAGTTAACCTTCAAGATACCAATCTAACATAGACCTGTTTAACAGGTGTAATATTGGAGGAATTCGGACTTTTCTCATACAGTCTCAGTTACGGTGGACTGGTCATGTCTTGAGAATGTCTGATGACAGGATACCCAAGATCCTAATGTACAGCCATTTAGATCAGGGCTACAGGAATGTAGGATTCTTATAGCTAAGATACAAAGACAAGCTGAAGAGCAAATTGTCAGCTGTCAATATACCACATAACACCCTTGAGTGCTTAGCCTTGGAGCAGGTAGAATGGAGATCAACATGTTTTAGTGGACTCAGCAGTTTTCAATCTGCTTGTCTGAATCATCTTCAAGAGCAAGATCTAGAAGGTCAGCCAATCTAACAGTGATCTCATCCCACAATCCTCACTCTTTCTCCATATGTCGCCTCTGTATATATATATTGTTATCCCATATATATATATATATATATATATATATATGGAATAACAATATATACATTTTTTATATATATCAAGAACAATTTTAAGAGAAAGAATCATGACAAAGGGGAAATAGTAGAGAAAGAGATAAAAAGTGAAAGATGGAGATTGTTATGATGTGTAACATGTACTGAAAGTCAGAAAAGAAAATTGATTGAAAATCTTAAAAAATACATTATCAGCAAAGTGAATGAATATATTCTCCATAGCCTGAAACAGCTGAATTTTGATCTGAAACTTTTACTGTATAATGTTCAATCTTTGTAATTGACATTAACCACTGACAAGGATGAAGGTTATATTGAAAATATTTCTTTGTATAAAATCAGTATTTTTCATTATGAGGCTGTGGATTTACTGATGTAATTTTGCACTGACCAATATTTCTTAGTTGGAGAAAAGATTGAAATTTATCTTTTTATGATTTAATAAAAAATGAAAAGTAATCAGTTTTATTTATTTATAAATGATTAAAATGAATATGGCAAAGAAGCCAATCTCTGTCATTTCAGATGCAGATTAAATTTATCATGATGATTGCTTTCATATTTCTTTCTTTTCATTCAATGTTATTATCTTATTTGTGTCTGATTCCCTCTCACTGACTAAACTCATTTTTCCGTCTCCCCTTATTTGTGTATATCCCATTTCTCTAGTCTTTCTGAAATCAATCAATCAGATTGGGCACGTCCATATTTAACCCTGTCACCTTCATGGCTAACTCCATCACGTTCTCCCAGTTTCCTCTTTCCTCCTTTCTTTTGGCTACTTGCCAAAGAGTAAGTCATTCCCACCAGCCTCAAACCATTTCCAAAGTCTGCAGAAATGACAGAGTTATCTCCCTTAAAAAGGTTTTTTCATTTTATACCTGACCATTTTATCTGTTTCATCATCGTGATGATCTTTTCTCATGTGTTTTCTAGGAAACTCTGCTTAATATTTCTCATCTGCTTTGCAATCTCCTTTTCATATTTTCTCTTATGTCAAAAACTTAGCAATGGTAAAAATTCTCTATCTACATTATTGCCTTTCTTGCCACACTGTCCCCTTTGCAAAACCAATGTCGCTGCTCTTCTCTCTTTCAATCAAATTATTTTCTCACATTCCCTTTCTCCTACCTTGCCAAAATATTAAAAGTGCTCATGTTTTTGTCTTCAGAAACGAATATTCAGGGCTTTCATCCTTTTTTCCCTATTGTGTATTATTTATCTGTAGGAGACATCAGGTTTTTTCATTGGTTAACCTTTGATACTTTTCCACTTGGCTTTTTTATGTTCATATAAAAGCAAAGAAACTCATAATTTCATATAGTTATTTTCTGAACTTATTAAAAAAAAAAACTTTATTTGCAGTTGTAATAAATGATTTGTTCAAGTAAAGCTGATTTCAGAATAGTTTTCAAGAAAATTTTACAGAATGTCTCTTTATAATAAACATAAAGTTTATTATTTTCATTTCTGAAATTAATTCATATAAATCTATTTATTGAGATTATTCCTCAGATTTATTAGCTTAACAATAAAATCTATATGTGATATAGTTTTGAAATTAATACCGTATATACTTGAGAATATGTCACTTTTTTTCACCAAAATTTCAATAAAAATCAGGAGTGTAACTTATCCACTTTGACATCTTAGAGAATTTGAAGTAGACTATGGCATATCAGTAGTCCAGGTGAGTACCCTGGGCTTAAGCATAAGCAAGAGCAAGGGAGAAAATTCATTTTTCCCAAAATTTTGATTTTATGCAATTGACTTTTCCAAAAGTACCGCATCACACGTCAAATAAAAGCGCTCAATTTACACTGCTTATATTTACCATTCATTATCTGATGCATGAGGAAAGACGATCATTTTCAAGTGATTTTAGGACTGAAACAATTGCCAGTATCCACATTTTGTGTCTAAAAAGAGCAGCCCCACACTCGATAAGTAAATATGCAATTACAACCAATCATTTTTCTTATGTTTTAATGTATGTAAGCAAAGTTTTGAAATAAAGATGAATATTTGAAAATATTTAACAAATATCTGTTATATTTATGTTAAAAAAGGGCCATGTAACTCCCCAGATTATAGTGCGACCTATCTGTGAATCAACCACAAATACTCACTTTGACAATCCCAAACTAAGGGTGCAACCTATCTACTGGTGCGACCTATCCACAAGTGTATATGGTACTTACTATACATGTAGGTAAATAATACAATATGCTGGATTTTGTGGTGTGTATTTAATACTTATATTCCTTACTGTAGACAGAGCCAGAAATATGATTTGTGGCTAAATTATTTGATGTTGCCAGATTCTTGGCAGTTTCACCCCCCAACATAAGAATAACCTTGCAGCAAATAATATATCCTCTTCTGATACACATATGTAAATGAATTTCAATCCAGAAACATGATACATAAATTATTCCCTTGCCTTTGATTTATGTTTGCCTTTATATTTCAAGAAATATGGTTGATATATCATGCAGAACTTATTAAATGCAATTCTATATTTTTCCTGTTATGAAAAGCTGCAAACATGGATCAGTGTTAATCTCAGACAAATTTTCTTGAGAGATGAGAGAAAAACTCAAAATAGAATTGCATAGAGCTTACATACAGATACAACAAAGATGTTCCCAATGGTCTGTTTATCATTCTATCTTTGCTTGCTGTAATCACTCATATATCTGTCAATTTCACAAAGCATTGACAGCTTCACTGATAATTCTTCCATCAAGATTACTCTCTGACTTACCTACTGCCAGAAACAAAACTAAAACAACTTAGCTGTTTATCATTACTTATTTTTTGCTTACCATAACCAAAATCAATAATACCATCATTTCTTTAGAGTTTAAATCTTATATCTTCAAATGTTTTCATTCTTTTGGCTTCTTTTTCACAACCTTCCTTCTCACCTGTGACAAGTTTTCTCTTTCATTTTTAATCATTTTCATCGTAGCTCACTTGTTATCCAATCACAAGTTCTTGTTATCACTAAATATTTATAGCATTTACTCCCCACCTCTCTGTGTTCTGACAACAACATTAATTCAATTACTAATAGCTTGGTAGTAAAACCAATGGGCTTGAGATATCAAAATCTATAGTTTAATTTCCAACTCAACAGATTCATTCATCTTAATTTCAATTAATGTTTATTTCTTTGTTTATGTGAAAAATCTGTGGATTGATCAATCTGGGTTTTATTTTTAAGTAAGATTTATAATTTTTTTTATATAATTGTCGTTGGAAATAATAAACATTGAAATATCAAATCTTTTATTTTGAGTCATGAATAATTTCCGTTTTTGTTTATCAACTTTCTTCTCCAAAAAATAAAGTACAATTATATTTTATTCAGTTACATATTCACTATTATTTGCAATAATTTTTTGCCATTTATCAAGTAACTCTTTAATATGTTTTCAGTAAAATTCTACAGGTTTTAATGTGAAAAAGTTTTTGATGAAAGATTTTCCCCTATCAAAGCATTTTGTTACAATTGAAAATGGTAATAATTACTTGGTGAATAGACACATGAATATGCCAGCTGGTATAGAGACACCAAATAATTTGCAGACTTTTTCCAATGTTATTTATGCTGCATGTATTTTTTGTCACTGTGGAGGACAACAACATTTTTTCATTAATCCACTGTGTATGCTGCCACTGCTGTAGAAAACTAACATCCATTAGTATCCTCCAAATTGATTCTTAACTGCCAGATATGATTAGTCGTTTGCATAATGCATTCATTATTACAGTTGGTTCCCAAAAATGGAAATTACTTGTAACTCAACCTAACAAAATTTCATCTTTTATTTTCTTTGTAATTCAATCGAGATTAATCATTAACAGGGAATTTTTTTCATCCTTAAATGAAATAAATGTTCTTTCAGAATAATAAACACTGTAAACCTGTGACCTCCAGATTCATTTCTTACATGATTTTATGTTGAAATTTGTTTTTCTTCAATAAAAGTACTCTTTGATTACTCTTTTTATTTCATCAATGAGGTCTTACTCCCCTTTCTGTAAAAGCTTTTTCCTTGTTGTCTCAAATTCTAGCTGCTTTAATATCCAGGGGAGATAATTTTAGCAATATAACTTTTTGCCATATATTTTAGAATTTTATAAAATACTATATATGTTGCAAGCTAATTTGATTGAAGTTCAGCAATGATTTTTTTATTTATTTTATGTCTTTTAGAAATGCAATGTAACAAATAAATTACCAGAATCCCTTCTTTTCACATATTCTCAATCTGTATTTATTTGCTTCGAATATCTCCTAACTTTTTCTACTCTTCAAGAATCAGTGACATTTACTGAGTGACATAAAACACAAAATGGATTATAATCTGAAGCATTTTATGTGGAATACGGAACTGCTCTCCATTTGATGAAAATGCATTTGTAATCTAAAATAAAATATATCTGCATTTTTATACTTTTTATTTTTTATTTACTAGAGAAACAAAATATCTTTGACTCAACTATAGAGTTTCATAAACAGGATATCAGCAATTGATGATATCCCCTGACGAGTGAACGGAGTGATTGCTGGTGGGTCTGTCTATGAAGCAAAATAAGTAAATATATTATACTTATTTTAAATAAATGAAAAATATAATTCTTTTAGTTCACACAATTTTCAAGTTTTTTTCAGGTTTTAGACCAAAACTTATATACCAAAGCCCGTGCTGACAGTGTTATAAATAATACGTCTATATTAAATATTACATCTATATTAAATATTATGTTGATATAAAATGCAAAACTAGGCTCTGAAGTTTTTTGTTTTCCTTTTTTTTTTTTTTTAAAAGAGAAGTGAATTTGTAAAATATTTAGACATCAAACGTCCAATATATCAATTTTTATTGCAGTCACTCAGTTATGTGCCATGCATGATACATGCTTAAGCAACCATGTATCTTTCTTTCTGCAGTAGACCAGTTGCTATCCAAGGCTATAGAACCTGGTCTGTCCATAGTTGGGGGAAGAAGAAGAGGATAAATACCTTTCCCAAGGGTATTAGTATGTAAGTGAATGTAATGGATTCAATTGGAATTCAAACTTGGCTCTCCGATTCCTCAATCCAAGCCACTATCCATTATTCTACTGTGCCTCCTAATTCTTATTGCACTCAATGCAAAAATAATGAATTCCTTTTCACCATTAAATATTTGAAGCAACTGCTTTTGTTTGAAAGAAAAATCATTTGACATTATCTATATTTATGAATGCACTGATAGGGAAAATCGTAAAGAAAGAATTGGCAACTGGAATTGGTTAATACTTAATTTTAGTGTGAAACACAAACAAGATTTAGCTTCATCTTGTTTTTTTGGTGGTGGGGGGATATTTTTCTCCATCATAGTTTTTTTCATTAAGGTTCCATTTAATGCAACATATAGGTTGCCTTGATCCCTGTTCTTTTTTTCCTTTTCTCAATTCCCCCCCCCCACCTACTCTTTTGTCTCACTTTCACTCTCCATAACCCCCTGTGTGCTAGTGACACTCCTGCCTTGCTTGGGGTGAAATGCTTAAAAAAAAACAGTTCTGTATAGGTGACTGTAATGCAATACTTTTAACATTTTTGTATACTTGAATACTTTTTTTTGATTAGTGTTAATTTTTGTTTTTCTTTCTGAGAAAATATTTTGCTAAATGGTTATTTGTTATTGGTAAGATGTTCACTATTTGAAATCACTTGCCAAAAAAGTGCATACTTACTTATCATCATCATCATCATCATTATCATCATCATCATCATCATCATTATTATTATTATTATTATTATTATTATTATTATTTGTGTACCAGTAGTGAAGTCATACTAAAAGCCTAGTATAAGATCCTGGCACAACAATAGAATTGTTCTCTTAAAAATTCGAGGTCATTTAAAAACAAAATACAATCCTGAGGATTCATTTTCTATTTATATTTCCTTGTAAAAAAACAAAAAAACAAACAAGTGTAAACAGAAAATTAAAAAAATTTTGGTGCTATTTTATAGCTTTCAGAAAACCAAAAATGGTACAAATTTAATCATAGTTATTAGGTTGATGTAAATATTCCTCATAGCGTCTTCTGTATAAGAGAAATCTTAGAAGTATATTTTATATTAAC